CGACGGCTTCGCCTACGCCGTCACCGACGGCCTCACCGTCACCTGTTCCCACAGCTTCGCCGACAGCTGCGCCAACGGTTGCTCCGACGGCATCGCCCACGGCATCGCGTACAGCAGCGCCGTCAGCAGCGCCGACGCCGTCACCGAGGGCCGCACCGGCGCCTTCTCCTACAGCTGACCCTATGGCCTCGATCACAGTTTCTCCGACATCTGCACCAACAGCCACTCCGACGGCATCGCCCACGGCATTGCCTACCAGAGGCGCCGCTACGCTGACGCTCTTTCGGCGCGTCGTTGTCTTCGGCCTCAGCCTTGCTCACGGCGTCTTCGTCCACCACAGGTTCGCTCAGCACCACGGCCTCCACTCTAAACAAGTACATGCGACCGTTAGTCGCTTCTGTGCCCTCGCATGCTCGCGACCCTTGTCTCCCCCCCCCCTTTTCGGTGCTGGCTCTCTTGCCGGCCTCCCGCGCTCTGCGCTCTTCCCCCCCCGCCCTTGCCTGCTGGTCGCCTCGCCCGCCCTCCCGGCGGCCCTCCCGGGGGCCGCCTTGGCCTCGCCAGGCGCGTGCCCGGGCTGGGGCTGTCGGCTCGCGCCCTTGTCATTGGTTTAGCTTGTCACTGGTTTAGCACGAGACAAGGGAGGGAAGCAACCAGTCCCTGCTCCCTCCCTTGCTCCTCCCTCCCTGCTCCCTGCTCCCCGCCAGGCTCGTGCGCCCTTGTCACTGGTTTAGCTTGTGGCTCCTCGGTCCGTGGCGACGGGCCGCCCCCCTTGCCCCCCGCCCACGATCGGGGCCCCTCGACGCTCTGCCCCCGCCGCCGGCTCCCGGGCTCAGACGCGTCGGAGGCGTTTCGCTGCCGTGGCCTACTTCGCCACGGCGCCCCCGCCCAGCGGCCTATGCTCCGCCCAAGGCGCCGCCTGGTCTCCACCTCCGGTCTCCCGCCCGCCCTCTGCTGCCCTCTCCGCCTCGGCCTCTCCGCCCCCTGCGGCTCTTGGCCTGCGGCGGCCTCTCGGTCGCCCCCCACCGTGCGGGTTGCCTCCCCGACGGTCCCCAAGTGGGATGCGACACGCTGTCGGCTGGACGCGTGTCTGGCGATCCGGACCTTGGCCTGTCGAGCGCCTGCACGTGAGTTGGTCGACAGCTGGCGGCGCGTGGAGTACGCCGGCTACCCGCGTGACGGTGTGACCATTGGCCCCTGCCGCCTGATTCTCGTGGTGCGTTTTCGAGCCGGTGTTCACGGACTTCCGGCACGCTCGCGGTGTCGCCCAACCAGAATTCCCCCGCCACTGTGGCGTTGCACTCTGGCCGGCGGCTTCCCCACCAGTCGACGGCGCCCTTCTCTGAGCGGCAGCGAGGCCCGCCTCCTGATTGTTCCTACCTCCGCTGTCCCCTCGTTGCCCCCCCCTCGTCTCTTCCCTGCTGACGCAATTTTGGCCGTAGCTCGCTAGTAACGACTTTGGGACTGCGCCCGGCGTCTCCGGTGCGCCTGCGATCAAAAAAAGTATTCCCACCAGCCCATCCCAAAACAGCACATCTTGCGAGACACGCCGACGGTCGTGACTTTCGGGCGTGTCTCCTCCTGCTCTCGCATGTCTCCTCCCCTCCCGCCCACCTCCTACCTAGTTTCTGCTTTACGTTCTCAAAAGGGGCAGTGGGAGGAGGATGAGGCGGAACAGGAGGAAGAGAAGGCGGTGTGCGGAGAGACGGGGATACCGACGACGAGGGGGACGACGGCGATGACAAGAATAACGCCGACGCACCCGACGACGACGACGACGACGACGACGGCGACGACGATGACGATGACGACGGCGAAGACGACAACGAGGACGACGACGCACCCGACGACGACCACGACGACGACGACGACGACGACGACGAAGTCAACCATGAAGGCGTTTCTGGGTTTGTCGCTCCTGGGGGCTATGTTGCAGGTGTTTGGGGTCTTCTGGGGTCCTCGTGGTGCCTCTTGGGGCCCCTTTGGGGCTCGTTTGAGAGTCTTGGGGCCCTCTTGGGGCTGTTTTGGGGAGTCTGGGAGGTCTCTTGGGACCATCTTGGAGACCACGGCTCAAAAAGGAGCGCGGCCCCCCCCTTCGGCACCCGAGAAGTCGCCTCTTGGGGCCCTCTTGGGCCGCTCTTGGGGCGCTCTTGGGCTCTTGGGCCCGTCTCGGGCATCTCTGGGGCCTGTTCTGGGGCTATTTTTTTGCCATCTTGGGGCCATCTTGAAGCTGCACGAGCCCATTGAAAGTGAACAGACGAGAAGGGAAACAACATTGATTTCCCTTTTGGTTTGAGGCTTCGAGGCCACTTGGGATCGTGTCGGGGCGGTCTTGGAGCCTGGTGTAGGCTTGTTAGCAGCTATCTTGAGTCATCGAGGGTGATCTTGAGAGATCTTGGAGGTCATATTCGGCACTCTTGGGATGTTTTGACGCCATTTTAGCCCAAAACAAACGCTCCAACCACCTTCAGGAGTGGAAGAAACACACAGACACAATTAATCGTCGATTCCCCAGAAAATATAGGAAAATATGGGAAGTGGGGGGGGAAGACAAAAACCCAGAACATATGGGAAAATATGGGGAATCTGTTTATTTGTATATTTATTTGTGTGTCCCAGGGCCCCTTCACACCTGCCCCCCCCCCCCGTCAGGCCCAGGGGGAGGGGGGAGTGGGAGGGGTCAAGCTACCCACCCGCCCGCAAGCCGTCTAGCTCGCTCCCACCCGCTCTCCCAAGACACTTGTTTTGCGTCGGCGGCTGGGCAGAGGGCGACTGCTCCGGCGGATGGGCAACAGGGGACACGTTGTACACAACTTGGCATCGCTCGGACGTGTGCATTTTTCCTTCGGCGAGGACCATCGAGGAGCATCCTTGATCATTTGGCGAAAAAACCACGCACGAAACCGAAAAAAACACAGGGAATGGACGTCCGAGCGATGGCGAGACAAACCCTCCCAACGCACAAGTAACACCCGAGCCTGAGCATGTTCAGCGATCGTCTTTGGATGGGCAGCTACTGGGAACCAAAGCCGACCCCAGGTGCGCGACGCTTGGGCGAGGTGCGCCACGCGTGCCAGGGGCGGCACGCGCGCCAGGCACCCCTGGGGCCCGAGCGTGCCAGTCAGGTACGCCTGGTGCGCCAGATGCGCCACGTGCTCCGAGTGCGCCAGGTGTGCCGCACACTCCAGCCGCGCCAGGTTTGCCACGTCAGGGGCACGTGCAGAGCGCGTCAGGTGCGCCCGCGCACGTGACAGCACACATCGGGAAACATGTCGGTCCCCGCCATCCTTGTCGAAAACCAATGCCCATCATTGTGTCTGGCTGGCCTGCTCACACCAGGCCACGCGACACCACCCCCGCCGTCCCTCCCAAAAGCCACTTGACACTGATCGCGAGATGGCATTGCATGATGCAGATTTAGCCGCGGTGTGCATGTTGTTTTGTTTTTTGTCAGGGATGGTAGCCTTGCGCACAGCAGGGAATATGCTGACACGCCCGCTGTCCCTGTCAAAAACAATACAAAGTGCCCGCGGGCCTCACGAACATGACTCAAGACTTTTCCCCAAAGTGTACTATACTCTGCATTGTTTTTTGACGGGGGGGCGGGGGCGCATCGGGTTGGCCGCGCATTCTCCAAATGTGGATTCAGAGTCTGGCTTGTATTGTTTTCTGACGGGGATGATGGGGGGCTGGCCCTCATGGAGTCGGCATGGCTCCGGGTTGGGCGAAGGCCAGGTGGGGGAGGGAGTGCATATCAATATGGAACAGTGATAAACCCCTCCCCGAAGGGGAAGAAGGGGGTGGAACAGAACGGGCTATCTCGTGCACGAGGTTTGAGGCATCCGTTCTCGCACTTGACCTCTTCAAGACCTCTTGAGGACGCCCTCGAACTCTTCGAAGCCCCGACCTTTCTCATTTCCCTCGACCTCTACCAGGCGTGGGGCTTCTCGGTCCTCCTCCAGTCTCGGGGTGTGGGTGGCAATGGCCCATTTGCCAATGGGCCGAGGTGGGCCCCAGACGTTCCAGGGAGGCCCAGTTGACCTCCAGAGCACCACTCACGATTCTGCCCTGGGGCTCCAACGTTGCGCAACATGTCTGGGACGCCCGGACCTCTGACAACCTCTGAGCACATGTCCTCCGTTCTGTTCTCCCTCCCGCCGATAGATCGGTGGTGCCCAGCAGCCGGTCTCGTTCAGCCAGGTTGATTCAGACACAGTGCGGGTTTTCGCAGGCTAAACCGTTGCCGCGAGCGAATCTGGAACCTGCAATCTTCGTTCTCTGTCTCCACCCTCGTATGATACAAATCCTGGGGGCTTCGCGCGACGCGCCATAGTTGTAAGATACGGGATGACATTCGCGCGGCGATGATCCGACGTGAGCCCGATGCAAACTGAGCCTCGAAATGCCGTCCAAGGCCTCTAGCATTGTCCTTATAAGACCTCTCTCTCCGTCGTCGCCCTTCCCTTCCTCATATCGGGGAACAGCATACATTTCCACACGGGGGTGTGAGTCGGCCAGTGGGGTAAGGTCATGTCCATGGGCAGAGGGATCGGTTCAGCGATGCGCTTCCCTCCTCCCTTTCCGTCGTCGTCGTCGTCCTCCTCCCGAGGAATTGAAAGACTCGAGTTCACCTGAACTTGGTTCTGCCGACGCTTTTTGGCGAGCCCGTCCTTGATTCTGACCGTCCAGTTTCCGTGGGATGTTTGCAGGGGGCGCTCGTGTCAAGTTCCAGATTTGGTCTCGTCGTTTTCTTGACGGCCCCGTCAGGCCAACCCGAGTCCTCCAGGCCAGAGTCTGACGTCTCCCCGACCCTGCAGCACCGCACCCTGACATCCACCGATCTGAATTTCCAATGCGCGGCCCCACAGTTCCCGACCCCCCCCGAGCCCTTCCCGGCGTACCTCTCTGGGCCAGCCCGAGTTTTCCGGACCAGAGTCTGACGTCTCCCCGATCTTTTGGCCTGACGCTTGCCAGCCGCGGCGCGCGGCGGCGGCGGATATCAGATATGACCGTGCGCCTGTCGATGTCCACGCTGAACCGAGCGCTGGCGGGCAACCTGGAAGCCCTGCGGCGCGCCCCAGGGGGGGGTGCCTCGCTGCTCAGGCCTGCCTCGCTTCGGGGCCGCCTCCGCCGGGCAGGGCGGGACACGAATACTCGCGCGACTACGTGTGATGCTCGAAATCCACAGCTCTGGCCCACGGGGCCCGCTGCGGAGCATGACGCGTCCTCGGCCCCAGACGGCGCTGCGGAGCATGACGCGTCCTCCCGCCGAGTCGATCCGATCTGGGGCCGCCTGGGTGATTTGGCGCCAGAGCGGGTTCGAAGAAGAAGGACTCCGACGCGACTCAACACAGTGGCCTCTTCTCTCCAGAGAGCTTACGGCTCGCAGCGCTGGTGGACGCGAGCGCGATTGCAGAGAGCCGGCCAGCTGCGTCAGGAGCTGGGCGCTTTGTAGCGAGTGGAGGCCCATGCCAAGAAGCACCTTGGTCCTGGCTTCGCTCGGAGGTGTGCGCTTTTCCTTCGGCGAGGACCATCGAGGAGCATCCTTGATCACTGGGCGAAAAAACACGCACGAATCGAAAAAACACACAGGGAATGGACGTCCGAGCGATGGCGAGTAGTTGCCTCCAGGGTGCAGTGGGTTGCTTTGGTTTAGACGGTTTTGCTGTTGAGGGCGTGACTTTCCCAGACCGAAGAAGCGATGGACGTCCTGGGGTCTCAGGGTTGGGTTTCTTGTGGAAGGTCTCTTGTTGTGGGGCCTTCAAGGTAGCAGGTGGAGAACCTTAGAAGGCCGCAGAGGAGGAGGGGGAACGGAGGCTCGGGGCACTGAACATCGACGGAGGCCGGGCGCGCGCAGCCGACTTCTTGGCGGATTGCATGTACAATTTCACGATCATGTTGTCGAAGTTCGGTTTGCACCAGCTTGCTGAAGTTCATGTCGCTCTGCGAGCGCTCGCGCGAAACACGAAACATGTTTTGGCTTATGGCATATGGTTTATTGTTTAGGCTCAGGTTACGGGTGATCCAAAATGTCGATGTCGTCGTCACTCAGTTTTTGAGGTTGAGTTGGCAATGCTGTGTTGACTCGTATACGACGACGACGACCTCGACGACGACGACGACGACGGACCTCGACGACGACGACGACGAAGACGACGACGACGACGATCTCGACGACGACGAGGACGATGACGACGACGGACCTCGACGACGGACCTCGACGACGATTGCGACGTCGACGACGTCGACGATTCAGGCATGCGCCGCTTCGATTTTTAGATGCTTGGGCCCGCGGACGGTCCGACTCCTCCCCCAGGGCCGGCTTCTTTTCCCGAGTCGTTTGGCTGGCTCTACCAGATGCCAAAAAGAGGGATCGACCAGTGGTCTCGAATGTGCCTGGGTTCGAATCTGAAATGATCCGGACAACGACGGAGATGTCGACGCGACGACGAGGACGACGACGACGAGGACCAGGACGACGCCGACGACGAAGACGAGGACGACGACGGCGAGGACGACGACGAGGGCAGCTGGAAGCAACTGATGGACCTGGCACCTGGACTCGATCCTCGAATGACGAGGCCGACGTCGACGACGACACGACGGCGAGGACGACCGCGACGACGACGACGACGAAGAACACGACGACGGAGACGGAGACGACGACGACGAGGGCGACTTCGACGACGACGACGACGACGTCGATTAGGCCGACGATGGCGACGGGCCGACAACGGGGACGACGACGAGGGCGGCGGCGGCGGCGATGACGAGAGCGAGGACGACGCTGACGCCGCCGCCGCGACCGACGCCGACGGCGACGACGACGGCGAGGGCCCCCGGAGGCACCTGATGGACCCGGCGCTGCCCGAGGTGCTCGGCGACTGCACCCGGGCGCCCGCCGAGCTGCAGTGCCTGGAGAACGGCCCCGCCCCCGGGGCTGCGCCGCCTCCTCGGGGGGCCTCGTCGGTGCTCCTGGAACATATCCCTGGAACATATCCCTATCCCGATGCTCCTCGGGGGGCCTCGTCGGGCCTCCTCGGGGGGCCTCGTCTTACCGGCCTGGAACATATCCCTATCCCTATGCTGGGCATCTCCTCATCACGATGCCAATCTTAGGGATTCCCGTGCATCCCTAAGATTGTCATCGCCTTTTGGCGTGCCCTCAGGGATAGGGATAAGTTCGAGGCTGGTAAGGGGGGCCTCGTCGGTCCTGGAAGCCGCGGCCTTCGTCGGCTGGGCGTCCGATGTCTGGGCCTCCCAGGTGGGGTCGCAGGCAAGGGGGTCGGAGGGTCGCGCCGCATCGCCGATGCATCGGCGACGTCACCAGAGCATGGCCGATGCATCGCCGACGCGTCGGTGACGCATCGCCGATGCATCGGCGGTGCGGCGAGATCCTCCGACCCCATCTACTCCGACCCCATCGGGGAGGCCGCCATGATCCAGCCCAGCGCCGGCTCGTGCGAGCAAGAAGGGGGGCCAGGTTCGAGGTTCTGGGTTCGAGACTTTTGGTGGTTGGCCTCGGGAGGCTGTGTTCTGGCCTCGAGGTACCGTCAACAAGTGATCCAGGTGGAGAAGCTAGAGATGGATCCCAAGAGGGGTCCGGAAGCAGATCTTGAGCGGACGTGTTCTTTTATCTTTTGCTTGACCCGATTTTCTCGGAGACCAACCAGTTCAGACCTGCTGGCCGCCTCCAATTCGATTGGTTTGTTGGGTACATGCAGCCCGCATGGTAAGGAAGAGCAACGTTCTAAGCTTAACCTTGCGTCCTTCCCCTTCGGCCCATCCTTGGCCGTTTTCACTGGCCGCGCCCTGTCCGCGAAGTGTGGGCATGGCCTTCCAAGGCCCTTGCATCCCAGGGGGGGTCCCTGGGGTTCAGAGGGAGGCCCCGTAGTCTGGGGGGTGTCGTTGGAGTCTGGGTGCGGGGGGCCCAGTAGTCCAGGGGTTCAGGGGCCCTTGCCGTCCGCGGGGGTGCCCTCAGGAGTACGGGGGGCGGTCGCGTTTTCCTGAGGGGGGGGGGGGGGGGGCGCTTCGATCTACGTGCAGTGGGTGGCCGTTGTTAGTCTCTGGGGATTGGCTCCCTTGTTCCGGGGGGGCCCTTGCCCTTTGTCGTCCAGGGGTCCATTGTAGTCCGGGGGCCAAGCATTTTGGTTCACAGATATCGGGGTATTCACGGTACTCCGACGCGGATTCGATACAGTTTCGGCCTGGGCTCGGCATGCGTCCGACGGGATTCCACGCGGGTTCGAGGCGGATTCGACGCGGATAGTGGCGCGATGGGGCAGAACAGGCCCCCCGAAGATGCAGCAACACTGGCGGGGGGGGGACAGCCGGAAAGGCCCGATAGTAGTACGCACAGGCGGGCTGCACAGCCCAGATATTCAGTTCTTTTGAACAAGTAACGTTGTGTGACCGACGTCTAAGATCAAGGTCGGTTCGGAGAGGATACCCTCATGTTCTTCGCGTCGGTTGGATGTTCTTGTGTATCCTGGGGGAGGGCACCCTCGGATGTTCTTAAGTTTGGGCTGGCGGAGGGTCTCATGTTCTTGAAGGGTGTTCCAAGGGCGCCCTCGAGGGCGCGAAATTCTTCGCGCTTCGCGCTGCGGCTCCGATTCCTCATCTTCCTCCTCTTCTCCCTTGGGAGGCGGCGCGAGAGCACGAAGTTATTCGCATTTCGCGCAGCGCGCAGCGCGAAGTTGGGAGCCCTGGGTGTTCTTCCGTTCTAGGTCTCTCCGTATTCTGAGGAGGCAGACGTACCGATGCTGCTGCTCGTCCTGGGCGGTCCTCGTCGCCACGGCTGGATTCTCTTCGAAATTCTGATCAGGGCGCACCCCAGGCCTTAGTGGGCCCGCCCCGGCAACGGCAGGGCCGTTTTTTCACCGTTTCCGAAAAAGTGCCCCTTGAAAATGGAAGCGGCAAAAAAACGGCGACCGGAAACGGCAACAGAATCGGTTTCAGGATTGGAACCAGAGCGGAAACCCGTAACAGAACGGCGACGGAACCGGAAAACAAAAAACGGCGTCGGAACCGGCAACAAAACGGCAAAACGGAACCGGTAACAAAAACGGCCTTGTCGCTTCCAGGGCCCATTAAGCCCCCTGGGCGTGTTCATGCCAATGCTCCTCCACATAGGTAAGGAGGTGTTCCTCGGCTTTCCTCATCATGTGGGGCCGTTTTCGGGGTCGCTGGACACTCGATAAACGGTTCGGGAAAAGCCGGCCCTGGGGAAAGGGTCTGGCAGGCCTGCGGAAACCTCTTCCTTGAGATATCCTTACAACTCTTGTTTGTGAGTTGTCGGATTGGCCGTCTCGCCTGAGACATCCTTGAACATTTGGGCTCCAGGACGCCGCGCGCGAGGTGGTCTGGGTCATTTCGCCTGACACACCCTCGAAACTCTAAGCCACGAGGTGCCGTTCGAGAGGTGGTCTGCCGCGTTTCGCTTGAGACATCCTCACAACTCTCGCTCCGAGACGCCGCGCGCGAGGTGGTCCGGCGCGTTTCGCTTGAGAGATCCTCGCAAACATGAGCTCCGAGCTGCCGCACGAGACGTGGTCCGGCGCCTTTCGCTTGAGGCATTCTCGCACCCCTCAGCTCCGAGATGCTGCGCGATAGGTGGTGTAGCGCGTCTCGCCTGAGACATCCTTGCAACTTTGAGCTCTGAGAAAATGTGCACAACTCTGGGCTCTGAGAGTGAGAAGAAAGGAGAGAGGAGGGTCAGACCCAAACAAATCATTTGATTCCACTTCGGTTGTCGAATTGTGCTCTGGGAGGGGTCTGGGCGCCGCCTCCTGGAACATCCTCGTAATTCGGGGCTCCCAGATGTCCCACTCGAGGTGGTCCAGCCCGTTTCTCCTGAGACATCCTCGCAATTCGGGGCTCCGAGATGCTGCGCGCAAGGTGTCCAGCCTGTTTGGCTCAAGACATCTTCGCAACTCTGGGCTCTTCGAAAGGTGGTCTGGGCCCGTTCCGCCCGAAACATCTTCGCACCTCCGAGCTCTCCGAAAATGTGCGCAAGGGTGGTCTGGCGAGTCTCGCTTGAGACACCCTCGCAGTTCTGGGCTCCGAGAGGGAGGAGCGAGGAGCAAGGAGGGGTCAGACCCAAACGAACCACTCTTGGCATCGCTCGGACGTGTGCGTTTTTTCCTCGGCGAGGACCATCGAGGAGCATTCTTGATCACTTGGCGAAAAAACCACGCGCGAAACTGAAAAAAAGCACAAGGAATGGACGTCCGAGCGATGGCCAGCATTTGATTCCTTATTCTCCTCTCAAATTGTACTCTGGGAGAGGTCTGCGCGCCCCTGTCCCGACGGACGAGGCAGCCGGCGCCGAGGCGCGGGCAAGAATCCTGGGTATACTTGGCATCGCTCGGACGTGTGCATTTTTCCTTCGACGAGGACCATCGAGGAGCATCCTTGATCATTTGGCGAAAAAAACACTCACGAAACCGAAAAAAAACAGGGAATGGACGTCCGAGCGATGGCCAGTATGTCGCAGGGGGTGGTCAGGGGGAGCCATGCTGGAGCAACTCGTGGAAATGCGTCGAGCGAGATCGCGGCGTGCAGGGAGGAGGCAGGATGGGGGAGGAGAAAGGGAGGAAGGAGCTCCGAGATGCTGCGCGAATTGTGCCCTGGGAGAGGTCTGGGTGCCCCTGGCCCGACTGTGGAAGTAGCCGGCGCCGAGGCGCGAACACGATTTCGTGGCAAATCGCAATGGATGATCAGGGGGGGAACCATGCTGGAGTAAATCGTTGGGATGCTTCGGTTAGAGCGCGGCGAGCAAGGAGGAGGCAGGATGGGGGAGGAGAAAACGGGAGAAACGAGCTCCGAGATGCTGCGCGAGATGAAAACACGAGGAGGGAGACGGTGCCAGGCTCAAGCTCTACCTGCTCGGGGGCATCCCAGACGAGGGTGCCTCCTGGAATTGGCATCGAGAGTGCGAAGGTATCCTAGGCAGGGTGGAGGAACGGAGAAGAGGAGAGAAGAGGATGGGGAGGAGGAGGAGGAGGAGGAGGAGGAGGAGGAGGAGGAGGAGGAGGAGGAGGAAACATGAACGAGCTCCGAGTTGGTGCGCGAGAGGTGGTCCAGGCAGCGCGCCTGCTCTTCTGATGCAGACCTTGATGGGCCTGTTTTCCACCGCGACCACCATAAGTTGTGGAGGGGGTGGGGGTTCTCCTCCTCCTCCTCCTCCTCCTCCTCCTCCGTAGCCATTTTGGCTCAAGGCCATGAACCGTCCCGATGACCGCGAGTCTTTCGGGGCGACACTTGAGCGCGAGGGAGGTTCCGCTTTGAGGCCACTCTCCAGCCCGCTCTTCAGTCTTCTGATTGCTCTCTTGTGCCTTTACCGCGGGAGTTGGGCCCCCGCACCGTCTTACCCCTCGACCAGTCGCCTTGCTGTGATGGTGGCGAGCCCTCGAGGAGATGAACTCACGACCTCACAGCTCGAGCAGCTGGAGGATGCGCCGACCTTCCCGTCTCAGGAGATCAAGTCTGGCAAAGGAAAAGTCCAAGGCAAGGGTGCTGCTCCGTCCCGCTTCGCCGACCCCAACCCGCAGAAGCGTCGTGCCCTCCCTGGTGAAGCTGCTCGTGACGTCGCTGATGCTGAGCTGCCTCCCGCCCTGGACGACGAGATGCCCGAGGGCTACGAAGACTTCATCCGTCAGTTGTGCCGTGCTGAGTTTGACTCCATCAAAGATGATTTTGGCGACTCCATCGCCAAGACCGCCGCTGAGAGCAACAAGCCCCTGCTCGCCGCCGTGGAGAATCTCAGAGCCCTGGTTCAAGCCCACACTGAGACCCTCGAGGCCGATGTCCGAAAGGTTGCCACGCCCCAGCTGGGCTCTCTCTCGCGCAGGTTGCAGGCCCAGCTCGACCAGCAGAAGGGCGCCATCGACGCCCACTCCTCCAGCATCGCCAAGCACGACCAGG